CAAAATAGTGCACTTCACATAACACTCCCCATAAGAGCCCATATAAAAACATGCAATTTAAACAATTAAATTCTCAAAAACGGGACAGTAAAAAATTAAAAAAAAAATTGTTCTATAATTTAGACATTCTTAACAAAGAGTTTTTCCAAATTTAAAAAAATTCTTAACATTTTTATTTGAGTCACCATCCTCCTTAATACCTACTCTCTAAATCTGAATCAGCGATAAGTATGCCACTATTTCAATTAGCGTATATGCGCTGTGAATTAGTGAAATTTCACTAAATAATCAGTGAAACTTCACTGATTAATTAGCGCATATACGCTGTTTTAAAATAGTGGCATACTTATCGCTGAGAATCAGTGAAATTTCGCTGATTCAGATTTAGAGAGTAATATACCCAGGGTGGTCACAAGTTTCAGTTTTCAATTTCCCTGTCAATTTACTGACATTACAGTTATTTTCTATTATAAAATATTTTTACAGGAAAATATAAAAGTTTACGAAAAACGAGTAAAATTTATGAATTTTAATAATTTTAAAAATTATAATTATAACCCTACCTGAATTCAATCATTTTTTATAATTTTCAACTAAACTTCATATCTGAATCAATTATTTCAAATAATTTTCCGATAGTTCTTCTAGAATAATTCAATTATTTAAATACAGAACTCAATTTCTTATAACTGTCCATGTTTTTTCTTTAGTTATTAAGATATAATATTTTCAAAAAACTAATAAAAAAATTCTTACAATTAATTTTTTTTTAATATTTTAAAATAATTTTTGAAAGAAAATAGTTTTTTTATTATGCAATTGAAAAATTTCCAAACAATTGAAATTTGGTAAAATCTTTTAAAGATAATTTCATTTCTTAAGAGAATTTTTGTTTTTAAAGAAAACTAATTAATTTTTTGATGAATTTTAATTAAAAATTTTGAACATGATTTTTTTCTAAAAAATGTTAAAAGTAATCTTACTACTAAAATCTTACTACTAAAAGATCTTACTACAATTATAAATTAAAACAAAAAAACATCACAATATGTAATTTTAAAAAGTTATTATTTTTGTATGTATTTGAATTTTTGGAAATGTGTATTTAAAAATACTAAAAATATTGAATTTAAAAAAAAATTTAGATTAGAAGCTAAATTTGTTTTTAAATTCATATTTAAAGATTTTTCATTAACTCTTTTGATAATTATATTATTTTCAAAATTTGCAATCTTTAAAAGTTGATTTTCGAAAATTGTAATAAAATACTTGAAAAAAATTAGTTAATTTCAATTATAAATTTTACAAAATTTCAATTATTCAAAATCTTTTTAATTGTATATTTCGAAAATTTAAATAGAAAAAAGATTCAAATAGTTATTTTGCGCCCATTATGCTAACATAATTTTTTGTCCTAACTGCATGGAAAGTATGTCATTGAGGGCACAAACGATTAAACGCTCATATTAGTTAAAAATTAAACTTTTTATAAATGTATTTGACGTCTATAATGATAGAAGTTTTAATATAGAAATAAGAAAACAATGTATTTAAAATTGACAATTTTTACAACCAAAATGGGAACAAAACCAAATTTGTCACAATTTTTTTAGAGAAAATCGAAAATAAATAGCACAGTTTTATAGACAAAATAAAACAAGTTAAAAATGTTTGCATTTTTATAGTTATCATAAAAAGAAAGTCGAAAATATCGCATTTTAATGAAGAATATCGAATAATTAACATGCGGTCGCAAAATACTTTTCCCCTACCCCAGGGTGGGAATGAGTTACAAAAAAAATGAGGACAAAAAATAATTTTAGAAAGATTTGTTTCTAGTTATTTTCCGCACTATAAAAATCGAAATGAGTTCCATTTTATACTAAAAAATGTGGTATTTTGTTGCAATATTTGGAAGAAAAGTTTTTAAGTTTTTGAAAGTAATTCGAAAAGAATATCATTTTTCTTAATTTCCATGACTAAAAATTTTTTTCCTGTCATTTCCCTGACTTTACTCACATGTGGTCTCCCTGCGTTAACAAAAAAAAGGCTTTATTTATTGATGAAAATGCACACCAATCGTCCTCATGTATTGCACATCTTCTCTTATAATAATAATTGACTCTGTTTTTTAACTCGAGTATCGAAATAGCAGAGAATTTTGAATTTCCGGAATCTTTACGCGTATAAATTTAAATGACAAATGTAAAAATATGTTACAGTTTTCTTGAAACTGTTGTTACTGCTCGTTAATATTATAGAATATGTCAAAATATTGGAGATTACTTAGGAATATATGGGAATTTTAAAGAATATAAGTGAATACTGAGAATATTAAAGAATATCAGTGAATAGTGAGAATATTGAATATATGCTGGAAAACATGGGAATACCCATAGAATACATGTGAATATCTATCGAGTGTACGAGGAATATCGAAGTTGTTCACCCCTCGATCAATACATACATCGATACTTTATGTGATTCAACACTGTAAACTAAGCACCAAATGACTGTTACTATTCTGCTTTTCACTATTATTATAACATGATTATCTGCTATTTATAGTTATTTCTTTATTAGTTATTTGATATCTTATACTTGTTGATTAGTTAATTATATTATTATTCTATTACACAGGACTACAAAGTGAAATTGAGGTGGACATGTTTTAAGCATAGGTGACCTTTATGTTTTTGTCAAACACCTAATTTTGCAAAACTTCAAGGTCAATTAAAGGTCATCTAGGTCCGGTGTTGGAAAAACTAAATATTTAGAATTAAAGTTTTTGACCTTGTTGCTGACGTAATGGAGTCATATGTACACCTGAAATGTAATCAGTAGAGGTGTGTAAAAAGCTCGAAGCTCGATTGAGCTTTTTATTTTTCGAGCTGAGCCTCATCAGTTCGAGTTCAAACTGAGCCGAGCTGTGCAAGAAGCTCGAATAATTTCGAATAATTTCCCTTCCTATGGCTCATTAGCCCTAGGAACTCATGTTTTCAAATAAATAATAAATAAATAATTTCGAGTACTCGAACGTTTCGAGTACTTGAATTTTTTCGAGCTCTTAAGTAAATTCGAGTTCTAGAGAAAATTCATATAATTTTCGCATATATTAGATATAATTAGCAAATTAAAATACACTTTGAAATTGAAGATATATTTACTTTATTGATTCAGTAATTCGAATAAAATCGAAATTTTATACTTATTAATAATTTTTTTGTCATTTAAAAGCTCGAATCTATTCGAGTACTCGATTTCACCCGAGTACTCGAATTTAATCAAGTACTCGAATTTACCCGAGTACTCGATACATCGAGCCGTCTCGGGCTCGGTTCGAAAAAATTTCGGCTCGACTGGGCAATTCGAGCTTGTTTTGCACATCTCTAGTAATCAGCGACCCCAAAAACATAAAAAGCAATTTGTTTTAAAATCCATCCCTAGCTAACTTTCTGAACAAGAGAATGAAATCAAAATTTGACCTTCTAGATGACCCTTAACTGACCTTGAAAGGTTGGTTCATAAAAATGGTCAAAACATATTCGAACGTAAAATTTTCCGCTCTTTCCGAATCCGGAGTCACAAAATTACATTATAAGGGCAGAAAGTTAGAAATTCCTGCACTGCGCGAAGTGATGCCCGAGACGAAGCCGAAGGCATCATCGCGTAGTTTAAGGCTTTCGAATTTCTGCCCGTGTAATGTATACTATTTTTCTTTATATACGGTCGAAAGTACGCTCGCTAATTTATGTTTTAAGAAAATTGCAATCGTGTTTCATTTGACAGCCGGACATCTTTATTTACTTGTGCTCCTCGCTTCAACGCCTCTAGCGGACACTCGTGAAGCTCTGGTTTTTTCTGTCTCTCTCTTGCAAACAACATTCGCCTGCCCCGACATTAATATTATATTTTCAAAAGAATTTTTCTGGTTGTACAAATTTAATTTTATGTTTCTAAACTTTCTAATGACCACAATTCCACTATTTCTTCAAATTATTAAAATTGTATTATAACATTTTGGCACGTATTAAAAAAGAAATTAAAAATTTTTTAATTATTTTATTTTTGTTTTTAATGTTTATTTAAATAAGTTTTGAAAATAATTATATCAGCAAAAGATTTCGTTCATTTCAATATTCAGAGCTTGTGGATAAAAAAATTTATAAAGTATAAAAAGTTTTCTTGATAATTTTTTTTCTCATTTTATATATTGCGATAACAATTAGTCGTTAAATTGTCATTGAACTCGCAATTTTCTTATTTGCCGACAGTGGTGTTTTTACAGACAAAGAATTCTTTTACTCCAGCTGTAATAGAGGGCGTGTGTGAAAATCAACCAAAGCACAAATGTTTGACTTTCTGCTGCGAAATCGCAGAGGGAAGTACGTACTTTCGATCGAGGTATGAAGAAAAAAATTTTTCAACAAATCAGACATACACTGCTACTTTGTGTGATTTGCTCGCTCTACAGCAAAAGCTTAATTTCGATATATTTATCGAATGTGAAACACGATGCAACGTAACAAAAATATCAATTTTTCAGGGAAATATAACAGAATATAGTAAACCCTTGTTCACACGAGGCATTCATAATAAATAACATAAAGTACCATAATTAAATATTTTGCTTTTAGGTCGAAATTCGATTGTTTTCTTATTCACATCGCAATGTAAACACTATTTCTTGTATTATTTGACGAAAATACGTTTTCATACTAATTGATCAAACGATTAATAGAGTTATTACATAATAAAAAATATTTTAAGAGGTGAAAAAATATTTGGAACAAAGAACTCTAGGTGTGATGCTATCAATTTGTACGCGTTAACCGAGCTAAGAACGAAATAAGGACCGCAAAAACTGTTCGAGTTTCGTGTTAACCGTTCAGCCCCACTCTCCCCTACTTTCCCCCATTTTTTATATAATTAAATTTTTTTTGAACGAAGAGAAATGAAATTAGGTATTTCATAATAGTAATATAAAAAAATAAACTTACTTTCCGTTTTGAATGGTCGTTGTTGGAACCGGTCCTCCACTAGCTCCCATAAGGAAATCTTCAGGATCGGATTCATAAGGTGGCTCGTCGTACCAATGTTGACCTCCTGGCCCTGGTCCGAGACCACCTGCGATCCCACACCTTGCATCATCATCATACATGTAGGTGTCGTCTAAAAATTAAATCGTATTCCTTATTTAATTTGAATAGACATCAGGTCTATAAATCTTCTGTAAAACACTTCCGAAAGTAAATTTTGTTCCGGAATTGCTTCTGACAGATTCCCGATAGGGTTATTCGTTAAAACGTTTATCCAAAATAAATCCATCTATTTTAAAAAACTTAACCAATGAACATGATGAACAACCACAAAGAAAAAAAAGAAAATATTTATTTTCAGTCTTGCATTTTTAAGAAAAATTAATTCCATGATTATTATTTCTGATATTCAGTTAAAAAATATACTTGTTCGTGAGACAAATATTAAACATTCTTTGACCTGTAAAACAGGTTGTAATGATCTGTTATTTTTAATTGCAAAAAGCATAGCTAGCCGAATGGAGTCCGGGTATTTAATTCAATTAAATCTCTCAATTTAGTCTCAAAAATCTTTTATCAGAACAGTATTTATCTTCAGAATTGTTTGATACTATGAGTTAGAGTAAAGGTGTAGTCATTAACAAGGCATTAATTAAACCTTTGTAAAAAAGTATATTTTAGTAACAAATAAAAGAATAACAAAATATAATAAATATATATATAACAAAATAAATAAATTTAGAAATACTAATAATAAAACATCATTCGCTAGTTTTTCATCCCAGAATAGTGAATTATATTAGTTTACCGTTTCACTATTAATCATTTCACTTATTACATAATTACTAAGTTTCACATTACGTTACTTTACAGATGAGTTGCGCGTTACTAGATTTAATTATTCCCAAAGCTAGTCATGAATTTACTTCCCGATTATCGTATTGGACGGTTACGTACATAGTGCACTCTAGTGAAGACGATTTCGCAATATTTCACTAGGGAGAAATCGCGTCAATGAAGAGCCAGTACGCCCGCTGACCCTCTTATCCAATAGGAAAATATACCGAAATAATTAAATCTCTGTTCAGACGATTCTTAACCCTGGATGTACCTTGAACAAAGAATCGACTTTACAACATCGCTTCAGGTGAATAGAGATGTACCTCTATTTACGTGGGGCGGTGAGTGCAAAAGGTGCTTAGGAAAGGTAAGCTTTGAGGCGAGGCAGAGTAGCGAAGGGTGTTACTACTGCACAGTTGTCCGTGTATCTCGAGTACAACTCCTTCTGGGAATTGTCTAGTCTAGCAGACCCAGTTGTACCTGTGATACCGCCTGCCTGCACTAGGTAGGAAGTTGATGCAGATGTACCTGCCCTGAGAAAGGAGGATCTCATTCCTTTGGAGAGTTGTACCTCAGCCTCGGCGACAGATAGAAATGAAAGGGTAAGGAGAGAATGAAAGGTAAGGAGAGAATTCTCGTCGCTCTTCCTCGGAGCAAGCCCCGAGTCAGTTCGACGGCGAATAGTGATGGTAGAATCTAGTCCGATTCCTGTGAAGAATCGATTCTCGACTTCCAAGAATCGATTCTATACTAACGTCTGCTGTCTGCGCAGAGACATATTTATTGGGCGTTTCAAGAGTTCCTCTGAGCATACTCAGAATGTGCCGTTATTGGTTGATCCAACAGCGTTAATCTGTACACGTGGTATGTGTATAACCGGTATAATCACATTTTTGTCGTAGTGTTTACTTGGAATTTAGCAAAGTTTCTAGAAATTAAAGTGGGCAAAAAATTTATAATTTTGTTGAAATTTGTTTCCATTGAAATTTGTTTTTCCAAAATGCCGCCAAGTGAAGTTTGGAATGATTTTCAAAAAATAAATAATAGAGATAAGGTGCGTTGCGGTGTGTTCCTCGTAGAATTAAAATTCTGTAAAATCACATCTTTTTTATCCAAACACCTACAAACTATCCATAAAATAAATCTGCTTTCATTTTCGAAGAAAAAGAACAGAAAGTTTTTCGTCCACCGAAAATGAAAATAACGACAGTAACAGTAAGGAGAGTGTTAAAGAGGTTAAGTATAACCTTTATGTATTTACTATCTTAATGGTAAATAAACATAGCATCAATAATAAATTCCTAAATTATTTTAATTAAGAAATTTTATAAATAAATTGATAAAACATATTTACACTACCGTCCGTGAGTATCAGGACGCCTCTTTTTTCATGAGTGGAAAAATGCTTAAAACGTAGAAAATAAGAATGAAACAAATTTTTCGTATTTTTTTCCTGAAAGCTAATGAAATTATAAAAAGACTGACACCTGATCGAAGAATTTTCGTTGACTATTCTGTCAGATACAGAAAAAATACTGGATTTTGCATGCTTTTCGTAATTTTTTAATTTCTCGAAAACTAATTAACTTTTATTAGCCCTCCTGGTCTTGTTTTAATCTCTATTTAATGTAGAATCTAAATTATTAACTGGTATTGTGAAATAAATTTTTCCAAAAAAATTTGAAACCGTAAAAGTAGGATTAAAAAATTCAAAAAATTATCATGAATATTAAAGTGTCAAAAAGATCAATGGAAAATATGTTCATTTAATAGATATACTAAAATTCAAAAAAGCTTTTTGATTACTTAATTATTTAATTAAAAAAATTTTTATTTTGATGAAAAAGTGTCAAAATTTTTTTATTCAACTTTCAGTTTCAAATTTTTTTGGAAAAATTTATATCACAATACTATAAATTAATTTAGATTCTACATTGAATAGAGATTGAAACAAGACCAAGAACGCTAAAAAAAGTTAATTAGTTTTCGAGAAATTAAAAAATTACGAAAAGCATGCAAAATCCAGTATTTTTTCTGTATCTGACAGAATAGTCAACGAAAATTCTTCGATCAGGTGTCAGTATTTTCATAATTTCATTATCTTTCAGGAAAAAAATACGAAAAATTTTTGTCATTCCTATTTTCTACGTTTTAAGCATTCTTCCACTCATGAAAAAAGGGGCGTCCTGATACTCACGGACGGTAGTGTAGATTAAAACTTTATTCATATTTGTAAATATATATGATAATAGCACAAAAAATATTTAGGAATCGAAATAGAATCTGTGACAATTGGAGCCAAACCTATCGCTGAAAAAATAACAACGGAAAATTTATGCGTGATCTTAAAGGATCTAATTTCCGAATGGAGCATAAAACCTGACAACGTCAAGGCAGTTTTAACCGACAATGCTTCTAACATTATCAATGCTTGCAAAATTGTTTTTGGTAATAAGAAGCATATCGCATGCTTTGCCCACTCATTAAACATTGTTGCCCGAAAACAGCGACGACGATAATGACCTTTCAGACGACGATCAGGGAAATGAAAATAATGACATCAGTTCTCTGAAAACAGTTGTTAGAAAAATAAAAAAATTGTTACTTTTTTCGCAAAAGTGATAGAGCAACTGAAGAGCTCAAAGCTTTGCAGAAGAAAGAATGGAATAAGAATAAAAACCAGTGCTTAAAACTTATACAAGAAGTGCAAACACGGTGGAATTACACTTTCGATATGGTCGATCGATTTTTGGAACTGTCCAATTTCATAGGAAAAGTTTTGTTAAAAGTTTCCAGAGAAAAGTCGACTAGAGATATTTTAAAACCTATGTCTCAATTAACTAAGGAAATTTTCTCATAGAAGTCGGTTACACTGAGCAAGTGTATACCACTGATTTCCCTTCTTCAAAAAGTAAATACCATATTCTTATTATTATCCGTTTCTAAAATATATTACATTAAAATATAATTTATTAATTTGTTTATACACCTGTCTTAAGCCTACATAACTTGGCTATACAAGTGTCTGTTTACAAATTTTCTGTCTTACAATGTTTTCTATAATTAATATTAAATTTTGCGTCTACAGAACGACTTGAAAATTAAGAGTACTTGCATTTGCCTGGACCACCCGTCTAATGGGTTTTCTCGCCAGTAGAGAGGGAAACTGTAGAAAACCTCTCCTGAGTACAACCGGTTTATCGACAGTGGAGATCTCATGGTGTGTACCGGACAATAATCGACGGTGCACATCATTATACCTCGACGTCAAACCTCCCGCTTAGATTATCTCACGTGGCGGAAAAATACCAAGCCAAATGGGCGCGAACCCTTGGTCCTAAAACGTCCACCAAGCGAGGCAACTATCCGACTGAGCTAATCTGGCGGTATTAAAATATAATTTAGATTAAGGGTCGTTCAAAAAATACGTAACGCTCTTTTTCTGAAATTTGGGCCCCAAAAAGCGTTACATATTATTTTAACGGTCCCCTATAATATTCTTAATTGTTTCCTTTTTTAGAGTATCAACAATTATAAAGCAACGCCTTCCGTTTTATTTAATTTTAAACAAATTTTTTTTACTAATTTGGAGAAAAGATTTAAGACAGTAGAAAATATTAAAGTAGCTCCAATGGCAACAATTCTCGATCCGAGATTTAAAAAACTGCATCAGGGAGAAACAAAATTTTTGTCAGGAAAATTAAGAAAATTGAGACTTTTTTAGACATATTTTAAAAAATTGAGACTTTTTCGAGTTTTCTTCCAAACATTGCAACAAAATACCACAATTATTAGTAAAAAAGTGCAACTTCTTTTGATTTTTATAATGCGAAAAATAACTATAAACAAATCTATCAAAAATTATTTTAAGATATAATTGAATTCTAGAAGAACTTTTGGAAAATAATTTTAATTAATTGATTCAGAGATAAAGTTTAGTAGCAAGTCTCGCGGTGGGGACTGTGACGTAGGCGCGACCCGGCGGTGTGTGTGCGGTGGCTATTCTCTACGCGACTAGCAGGCTGAACGCGCTGTAGTATATATAGATATACTCTATGCATGAAATATAATTTCACACGTTAGAATTTAAATGCTATCGTTACAAGGTTTTAAGTATATTAATCTATTACATCCCCCACAGCATCTAAACTTGCAGTAATATTGACAACATTGCCTCAATATTGTGAAACTTGCAGCAATATTGTCAATGTTGCTGCAAGTTTAGATGCTGTGGGAGATTCTATTATAGGGGAGACGAGGTGCGGTTGTTACACGCTGTGCAGTTCTTACAAA